CTCCACTCGCCGCCGCCGTCCCGGCCTCTGCCGGAGGGAGGGGCCGAGCGCCCTCGGGGGGCCGTGGACCCCGGCGTTCTGAGCGCTCCACGCCCCGCGCCGCCCGGCCCCCCCGCCGCCGATGGCCGCCGACCCGCCGGGAGCTGCCGAGAAGGGAGAGATGGCTCCCGGGACACGTGTGAGGTGGGTTCACGCGGCTCCTCCTCACCCCCAGCCCGGGGCAGCTCCCACTCCCATTCATCCTCCACCGGCCACTCTGCCTTCCCCGCCCCCAGCCTCACCTTCTCTGAGCTCCGAACGCCTGCTCCACAGCCCTCTTTCCTATGTTACCTTGCAACCCTGGGGAGCTGGCCTTGCCTTGCTAGACCCCGCTTCCCCTGGCGGACCCCCCACCCTCGCCTGCAGTCGCTGCCCTCCAGGCCCCTCCCTGGAGCGCTGAAGGGCCCCTTCCCCTCTCGGATGGGTCTGGAGGTCCCTGGAAAGAGGGAAGCTGGGGTAAGACTGCGGCCAGGAAGAGACCCTCCAGGCCTGCCGAGTCCGGGTGGCATCTTGGAGGATCTAGGGTTCCATGGGAAGGGGAGCCCAAGGGATTTCTAGACAATTAGGGATGGAGAGGATTGAGCCCATCCCGAGCATGGTGGAGATGTCAGGCTGGATTCTAGAAGCCCCGGGAATCTGGGAGATTGCCCAGGTTGACTTGAGGAATCCAAGGGGAGAGTGACTTGGAGCCGAGGGACCTCTGTGAGGAGCCAAGGGGGTGAGATCCGAGGAGAGACTCTGAAGGAACGTCTCAGTGGGGTTTCAGAGAGCTCTGGGAAGTTGGAGGGCGGAGAGTGGCTTTTTAGGGATGGGGGAGGGCAAGGATCCCATTGGATATGGTGATGATATCTAGGTTTGGAAGGGAGAGAAATTGGGTGGGGTCTGCGCTGGGGGTAAGGTGAGTCCTCCTTGTGAGAGGGACCGAAGGCAGAGAGGGAGGAAGAAGGAGAGAGAGCAGGAGCGTGGACCTTCCACCCAAGAATCTCTGGGTATCTTGGAGGTAAATCTGAGGACTCTAAGGCTGGGGAGAGCCTGGGGTGCACTGCATTGGGGTAACAGGCGAGAAGAACTGGGATCTCTCTGAAGCAACTTCTCAAACAAGGAGCCCTTGGCCTTCCCAAGGAGCTTTGGTGTGGAGATGTCAGAGGAGAGCCCCAGAGCCCCTTCTTCCGCCCTGGGCTAGGGAAGAGCACTCTGAGAAGATGTTAGAGAGAGTGAGGTCGGGAAGCCAGTTCTCTGGGAAACCCCTGAGCTGCTGTGGGGAGAGAGGCCTTGAGTAAAGGGAGTGATCCTTCCCCACGCCCTCCAGCCCCTCAGCCTGACTGGGGACCTCCTTGTTCCTTGTCCCCCTGGGTAGAAGGGCCAGCTCTGGCTGCCTAGGACTTTGGGGGAGCTGCCAAGAGTCTCCCTGTCAGGGGCCCCAGTGGGCCTGCCTGACCCTGCCACCATCCACCCACAGCCCTCGGCGTTGCTGACGCCCCCAATGTCGTCGAGCAGCCGGGGGCCGGGGGCCGGAGCGCGCCGACGCCGAACCCGCTGCCGCCGCTGCCGAGCCTGTGTGCGATCTGAGTGTGGGGACTGCCACTTCTGCCGAGACATGAAGAAGTTCGGGGGGCCCGGGCGCATGAAGCAGTCGTGCCTGCTCCGGCAGTGCACTGCCGTGAGTTCTGCCCCCATTGGGACTCGGGGCACCCTTCCCCAGGTGGCCTGAGCCCCTTTGCGGGGTGCCTTGTGTCTGCTTCCCAGAGGGGAGTTGAAGTTTGTTCACTTAGTCATTTCCTTCATTCATTCACTGATTTGTTTAAAAATCTACCAGGCCTATCTTTGTTCTCAGCCCAAAGCCGGGGGCAGCACTAGGATGCGTGGAGCTATCTGACCCCTTCCTATCTCCGTGCTGTTCCCCATTTAACAGAGACGCAAACCCTTAGAAAGCTAAGCCCCTGTGGATCCCTCCCCAGTGGCGTTGGTGCACAAGACCCCCCTCCCAAAGCCGGCAGCTGTGAACAGGCCGCAGCACCCTCCCCGGCCTCCTCCCCTCACTGCTCAGGGCCAGCCTGGATTTGAGGCTGTGCTCTTCCTTCATGTGACCTCGGGGCAAACTGCTTTGAGCCTCAGGTACCTCTGTGTGAAATGTTTCCTTTGTTAAATTGTAAAGATTAAACAGTAGCACAGATATCATTGTAGCTACTACAATGTTTAGCACACAGTCTTAGCACATAGTCGTGAGAAACCCTGTCTTTCTCCTCCTTTGACCTCCTCAGGGCTCCGGGAGTGACCTTTCCCCATCAGTCATGTGGACCCAGGGACATCCTGCACCCCCTTCCCTATACCATACCCGCTGCCGTCTTTTCCTGCAGCCATGCCTCCCTGTGTGGTCTCTCTGCCCATTGCCCAGCTCTGTTCTGCCCCCGTGCTTTCCCTCACCTTGCCCTTTCTTCTTCCTCTACCTGTTTCTTCCTTCAGCTTGTCTCACAGCCTTCAGCATCTCCTCACGATTCCACATCACCGCTGTCCTCCTCAGCCACATTGTCTGAAGGCTCCTTCCACTTTTCCCAGAACTAACCAGCTACCTTTAGTGTTCTTGAGGATCTCGCCAGAACTTGGGCTCTTCATAGGGGCTGAAACGACCCTTGGGCTCCTTCCTGCCCACTGAGCAACCTCAGGGTCACCCGCAAGCTGCTGCCATGTCCTCAGTACTACTGTTATGTTGGGCTGTAGTCTGTGTCCTCAAAGTCAGGTATAGTCTCAGGGTCACACGGCCACAGGAATCAGTGACAACTCCTGAGTCCCTTGTAAACATCGTCTCTCTAGCAACAGCCCTAAGAAGGAAGAATCCTTAACCCCATTTTACAGGCACAGAAACAGAGGCTTAAGGTGGTTAAATGCGTTGTTCGAGGTCACACAACCAAAAAACGAATATGTTTAGGATTTGAGCCAGCTTGGTCCACAGGTTCCAAATAGCTTCCCGAGTCTTCCTTCTCCTCCAGCAGCTGGCCAGAGTCTCCAGAAGGAAGGGTCTCTCCCTGTTGCTTTCAGGGACCCTGATGCCCCCTCTCCCCCAACAGCCCGTGCTCCCACACACAGCTGTGTGCCTCTTGTGTGGGGAGGCTGGGAAGGAGGACACGGTGGAGGGAGAAGAGGAGAAATTTGGTTTGAGCCTCATGGAGTGTACAATCTGCAACGAGATCGTCCACCCTGGCTGCCTGAAGGTGACAGCCCTGGGGTCCCTGGCATCTGCGTGGGGCACACTGGCAGAGAGCAAGGAAGTGGGCACTCCTAGCGCCCCCAATCTCCTCCCTGCACTCTTGCCTACAGATGGGGAAGGCTGAGGGTGTCATCAACGCAGAGATCCCCAACTGCTGGGAGTGCCCTCGTTGCACGCAGGAAGGCCGGACCAGCAAGGTAGGTGCAGGGGCTGGGCTAGGTGCTGGCCTCTGGGAAGGCGGTGGGTCTAGGAGCTGTGCGGGCCCTCACCCCCCTTCTCCATCTTCCCAGGATTCAGGAGAGGGCCCGGGCCGCCGGCGGGCTGACAGCGGCGAGGAAGGTGCTGGCCTGGGGAGTGCATGGAAGCTGACGGAGGAGCCGCCGCTTCCCCCGCCCCCACCCAGGCGCAAGGGCCCCCTTCCTGCTGGTCCCCCCCCAGAGGATGTGCCTGGGCCCCCCAAACGAAAGGAGAGGGAGGCAGGGAATGAGCCCCCCACCCCAAGGAAAAAGGTGAGCTGGGGAACATGCTCACTAGGTCAGGCCCAAGAGATTCTGGGAACTGTAGTCCTGGCCCAGATTGGGGGAAGGGATGGGTCTGGGAGACAGTCTTCAGTGGGTTCCCCAGGGGTTGTTGGGAGATGTAGTTCAGGAGTTCCTGGTGGGGAGGGAGGGAGCATGCTCAGTGAAGAGGAGAAGTACAGGTGGAGGGGAACTGGCAGCAGGCCTGAAGCTCTGGGAGCCCTGGGTGCTTAAGGGAGGACAGAGAGAGAGAGAGAGAGAGCGCCAGAGAGAGAGAGAGAGAGAGAGAGCGCCAGAGAGAGAGAGCGAGAGAGAGCATGCTCAAATTAACTGCTTCAGAGGAGGAGGGAGGGGCTGGAAAGGGCCTGAGGGGGAAGAAAGAGGTGATAGGAGCATGCTCAGTGAGCCAAGACACTGGTTGCAAGGTGAGCATGCTCACAGTTCTCTCTGGGATGGGCGCTTCTGGGATTTGTAGTCTAAGAGAAAGACATGGACTTCGGTTTTCTGGGCAATGAGGGGCTAATGGGGTCTCCCTTCCCCCACATCTCCTTCTTGCCCCTTAGGTGAAAGGAGGCCGAGAGAGGCACCTGAAGAAGGTGGGTGGGGATGCCTGCCTCCTCCGAGGATCGGACCCAGGCGGCCCTGGCCTTCTGCCCCCCAGGGTTCTGAATCCGAGCCAGGCTTTTTCGTCTTGCCACCCTGGGCTCCCTCCCGAGAACTGGGAGGTGTGCCTGGGACTGCCCCCCACCCTTTCCGTGCCCCACCCTCCACCCTGGAGATAGAGATCTGTCCCTTCCTGCTTACCTCTCTCTTCCTGCCCTAGCCTCTCTCACTCTGCCCCAAAGGGTGTTTGGACCCCCGGGAAGGGATAGACGGGGTAGAATAGGTTGGGGCCAGGCTGGAAGAGCCCCTGACTTCCCAGGAGCCCTTGAGGTATCATCTAGCCCATTTGCCCCATCTTTCTAAGTCTTAGGTGGGGAGAACTGAGTTTAAATCCCTGCCCAGTTACCCAGTCCCTGGTGGTCTTGGCAACTTGTCAGCTGCTTGGAGCCTTAGTTTCTTCAGCCATAGATGGGGATGACGTTACCTGCTCCTGTCCCACAGAACCGTGTAAATCTCAGGAGACGATAGAAAGGGACAACTTTTGTAAATGGAAGTTCTGCACAGAGAGGCTGAGGTTGATGAGCTAGCGAGCGTAGGGCCAGGTGATCGGTTACTTTCACCTTGTCGGCTCTAGGCTTGGGATTATCCAGCCATTTAACGTGAAAATGTGAAGCAGTGGCTTCTCGAGGTCACATGGGGTTGATGACCCAGCCAGTGCTCAACGCTAGATCTTTAACATCTCCATTCTTCACTGTCTCTGGACATGTGTAAGCCATTGAAACCCATAGGGCTTTTAATTTTCTGATCAGTGCCCTCATGCAACAGATAAGTGAACAGGACCAAAGGAAGGGCAGTGACTTGGTTAAGGTCTCACAGCTGTCAGGAGCAGAACTAGGCTGGAACTGGGGACTGTCCCTTGAGCTAGTCATTCCCTGGTGGACTCCGTAGGGGCAGGGGGGTGGGAAGGTTTTGCCAGGCCCTAGAACAGCCTCACCCTGTCGCTCTGCAGAAACCAAAGCCACCTTTGGCCCCTACGGAGGGCCCAGCGGTGCCGTCTCCGTCACCACAGAGAGAGAAGCTGGAGCGCTTCAAACGGATGTGCCAGCTGCTGGAGCGGGTGCCCGACACGTCCTCGTCCTCCTCGGACTCGGACTCGGACTCGGACTCATCAGGCACGTCCCTGAGCGAGGAGGAGGCTCCTGGCGAGGCCCGCAACGGGCGCCGGCCGGCCCGGGGCAGCTCAGGAGAGAAGGAGAACCGTGGGGGGCGGCGGGCTGTGCGCCCTGGCAGCGGGGGGCCCCTGCTCAGCTGGCCCCTGGGCCCTGCACCACCGCCCCGGCCCCCACAGCTGGAGCGGCATGTGGTCCGGCCACCACCTCGAAGCCCTGAGCCTGACACGCTGCCTTTGGCTGCTGGATCCGACCACCCCCTGCCCCGGGCTGCCTGGCTCCGCGTCTTCCAGCACCTCGGGCCTCGGGAGCTGTGCGTCTGCATGCGCGTCTGCCGGACCTGGAGCCGCTGGTGAGTGGCCCAGACGGGCCGGGGTGCAGGTGCCAACACTCTCCTTCCTTGCTGTGCGACCTGCAGCAGGTCTCTGATCCTGTCTCCTGGGCCTTGGTGTTCTTATGTTGACAATAACAAGGGATACACATGGTAAATCCAGCAAAAGCTGGAACCTGTGCAAGGCAGAAACCTGTCAGAGAAGGAAAACACCAATATTTTCTACCGAAAACAAGTGACAGAAACGTCATATGACCGTACTCCATCAAAGGTGAGAAATTTACGAGACCCAGAAAAAATAGGCAGTCCCATGGAGTTCCAGCTCACAGGTTTTGCCGTGTGCGTGTGCGCGTAATCGTTACTGTCAACGTAAGAACATACATATATCTACAAACCAAACAAAGTCCATTATCGTCAAGTTATCATGACTCAGTAGCCCCGTAGAACAGCCCCATAGGGTTTCTGAGGCTGTAATCTTCGTGGAAGCAGACTGCCTCATTTTTCTCTTGGGTCGGGTGGTGAATTCAAACCTCTGACCTTTCCGTTAGCCACCAAGCATTTGACCACTGCGCCACAGGGCTCCTTTCCTGTGTATGTCATGTTGCAGTGTGATACTTCTTCGTCTGTTACATGCAGGTGCTTTCCAATTTTTGGCTCATTTAACCCTGACAACAACTTTGTGAGGTCAGTACTGTCTCAGATAAGAAAACTGAGGCCCAAGGTCACGTGGAGAGGAAGTGGTAGAAGTGGGAATTAGAACCCAGGTGTCTGGCTCCAGATTCTTTCCTTAATAATGGGTGTCACTTACTGGGGATGTGCCAAACTCACTGCCATCGAGTTGATTTTGACTCATGCAACCTTTGTAGCCCCATAGAGTTTCCAACGCTGTAAATCTTTATGGCAGCAGACTGCCCCCATCTGTCTTCTGTGGAGCACCCGGTGGGTGCCAACTGCCAGCCTTTTGGTTAGCAGCCACATGCCTTAACCACTGGACCACCAGAGCTCCGGTAGTAGGTGCCACACATCGTGCTAAGTGTCATCTGTGCGTCATCTCGTTGACTTTTCCCATTCTCTCTTCTGAGGACGGGCTTCTCCTGCTCCCATTCACACACGAGGAAGCCTTTTGTGAGGGGCCGTGTTGGGTCTCCTAACTCACCTGAGAGCTGCTTTCTTCCCTGGAAGGAAGCCATCACCAGCACCCTCTGCCCATCCTCCCCTCCTGCCACCACTGCCTCCTGAACCTGTTTGTTCAGAAATGTCCGTCACACTCCCAAGCCCCTTGTCTTCTGATCCCACCCCGGGCAGAATTCACCCGTCCCCATCACCCTGCCACGGCCTCTGTTACCCTCAGGAAGCACGTGCATGCCTTCTGTGTGTTGACAAGCCTTCATTCCATTATCCATTTTCATGGCCCCCTCCATTGGAGGGGGACTGTCTGTTTTATCTGAATGTTTCCAGCATGGGCAGGTGACACTGTAGGTACTCAGGAAGTGTCTTATGAAATGAGTAAATTCCAGCCCTTTCTCGGGCACTGACTATAGACCAGGCATGTTCCTGGGCACCTCCCAGATGGTGCCTGATTGGTTCCTCATGGTAGTGACCCTGTGAGGGGATGAAGGACACCTGAAGTGTCACCGAGCAGGTTAGTGGCTGAACTTGAATTCTGCTTCTTTTCCTTTGGAATGAGGTCTGGAGCAGTAATCCCTGCCTTCCGGCCTCATACGGAGCCTGGAGTGCTGCGAGGTTGGGACCACAGGCTACGGAGGCAAGTTGTTGGAGTCAGATCCTACTCTTCCACTGATAAGCTAGGTTACATCGGCCCGGTTAACAATACATACAAAGAACAACTGAGAACACACTTGGGACCTGGGAACGGCTAGGTGCCTTCACTGCAACATTGTTGCCCATTCTGTTACAAGTACTTGATGAAAGCACAGACTGTTAAGTCCCTTAACACAAGCTGTGCCCTTGAAGAGTTACCAGTCAACCTGCAACATAGAAGCAAGTTGTTACAGAAGTTGCTGGGAATACAAAGGTGGCCTCTTTTGTTAGTTAAGGAAATGTCTCCCAAGGCCCCTTCAGCAAGGCCAGCAGCAGGTTGGGCATGTGGGATGTAGAACTGAAGACAGCTTCCTTTCTGCCCCAAGGAGAGACTGGTGAACAGAAGTGGAAGTAGCAGAGAGACTGTACTCCACTGTGGTTTCGATCTTGGGTCCTGGAGTACAGCAGTAGGCTTTCCGTAGTCACAATTCCTGGAGTTGCTGGTTGTGTGGGTGGACAGCTATCCCTTTCAAGGCCTTAGTTCTCTGATCTGTAGTTGGGACCTTCATGTTACTACTCACCTTGTGAGGGTAAGATGAAATGATTCCTGCAAAGCCTTTAGCATGGTGTCTGAGGGGCACTAACCACTCAGTAGAAATGGTGAGTGTTCACGAAAGGACCAGGTAGAGGAGAGCAGGAGGCTCTGGGGACACGGTGAGACCAGTCAGGAGCTTTGTCAGGCCTGGGCAGGGGAGCAGGGAGAGTGGGGATGGGGAGGAGGGACTTGGGTTGAGAACTTTCTGAGGAGTACAGTGGCTGGGATGTGATCATTGGTGCTGTGGGGGCAGCAGCATCCTCTTGCACTGAGTTTCTGGCCCAGGAGGCCAAGTGGACAGTCGCACCATTCCCCAAGCTCGGGGATATCATAGCAGCAGCAGGTTCTGGGGGATCATGAGGAGCCCAGATTTAGACATGTTTAGACCAGACGGGCCAGTGGGCCAGTTAGGTGGAGCTGGCAGGAGAGCGCGGGATCTGCAGGTCTCGTGCTCGAGATGCACAGGTAGGAACTCTCCACGTACAGACAGCAGCTTCAAGAAAGAGGGCAGAGGGTGGGACATCGTGTCAGTGAAAGAAAGCAGCCAGAGAATTGGAGGAGCTCCAGGGTCGAGGGGCGTCTGACAGACGAGACCGATGGAGGAGAGTCAATGAACAGTGTGAAATGTTGGCGAGCGAGCAAGAGAGGTCAAGGACCAGAAGTGGCAGGCAGATTTTGCTGCAAGGAGGTCGTTGGTATTTTATGGGGATGGCCAAAGCCATACTGCAATGGCTTGAGGAAGGAATTAGCTTGGAATGTGAACTCTACGGCAGGGACTGTGTTTCTTGGCTGCTACATCTTAGGACAGTGCCTGGCACATGAACTGAACGGCCATCGAATTGATTCCGACGCACAGTGACCCCCGTTGGGCTTCTGAGACTGTAAATCTTTATGGAAGTAGGTTGCCCCTTCTTCCTTCTGTGGAGCAGCGGGTAGGTTTGAACCGCTGACCTTCTGGTTAACAGCCAAATGGCTTAGCTGCTATGCCACCAGAGCTTCTTCCTGGCATATGGTGGGTACTGAGAAAATGTTTAAGGAAGGAATGAAGGTGAGGAAATTGCAATGGAGTGTGGGAAAGAGATAGTGGAGGGTGGAGCTAGAGAAAAGTTTGTAGGTAGGAGAGCAGGAAGTTGCAGGCTTTCCTGTCTGGTGGCTTTCATCTTCTCTTGGAACTGGGAGGCAGAATGATCTCCTGAGAGGGAGCTGGGAGGGAGGGCACACAGGGTGGGGGGAGGGGTGGAGCTTGTTGAGTTGCAGGGTTGGGGCTTCCGAGGGTGTGAGAGCTGAGGGTGGAAAGGAAGGGACTGGAACATGGGCTCAGGGCCGGGTGGGGTTGTGAGTAAAGGCCTGGAGATGGACACGTGGAGGACAGTGGTGGTACCAGGAAGCCCAGAGAGCTTTCAGGAGGGAAGAACCGTCTGTGATCAGAACCTAGGAAACTGTGGGCCTCGTGGGCAGCAGTTAGGACTGGTCCATCTCCCATCCCCAGTGGGCCTCTGTAAGAGGGAAGACTAGGATTTTCGAAGTGGGCTTTATAAGGTGATGGCTTGATCAGGTAGGTAGCTAGGATTAAGGAAGAGGGGAAAGGGAACCAGGGGCTGTGCCGTTGAACACCAAGGCCCACCTTCCCAGAATGATAGCATGCCTTGGCCTTTTAAGAGTTCTTCTTGCCTTGGCACAGTGCCCTTTTCCAGCTAAGACAGAACCTGCTCCTGCTCTCTCTTGCCTGTTGGACATTTGGACACAGAGTGCCCTAGTGACCATGTCAGGCCCTTTTCCTGCACTGTCTCTTCACCTGCACAGCAACTCTTTGATGTAGGTGCTGTCCTTTGCTTTGGGTAATGGAGGCCCAGAGAGGGTAAGTGACTTGCCTGAGGTCACCTCACAGCACAGAGGTGGCAGAGCTGGAATTCAAATTCCCACACTCACACCCTAGCTATCTGGGTGCTGGGCCAGGCCAGGCCGTGGCCTCGCATTCCAACCCTCCTTGACGTGGTACCCCCACCCTAGCCTCACTCCTCCTACCTCTTACTCAGATCTTGGCTCTCAGCTGGCTTGGTTGAAGCCCCAGCTTTTATACTGCTTTATAGTTGTGGGACCTCAAATAAGTTTTTTAACCTCTCTGGGCCTCACTTTCCTTAACTATGAAAAGGATTGAAAATAATGATGTTTAGCTCCTCGGGTGGTCACGAGGTTAATGCATAGAATACCACCTGGCACATTGCAAACACTCAACACATACTAGTGCTGTAGTCATTGTCACCGTTCTCACTGTTACAGTGAATAGCCCTTTGCTCCTTGTGCTTGAGTTCCAAGAGCGCGCCATTTTCTCTCTCTCCTCTAGGCCGGGACACCAGTACCCTGCCTGGAACACATACCCTCTTGTTCCTCTCCTCTTCTTGCCCAAATAACTGATGCTTTCCTCAGAGTCTCCGCTAAGGCATTGTCCCCCCAGGAGGCTCCTCGTCCTATCTCCCACCCTGGTCTCTGCTAGTCCTCCTATTGACTCTTCCCATGACCATGATCACCCAAGGAGATAAGGAGCAATGGGGGCACAGTGGTTAAGGCATTTGGCTGCTAACCAGAAAGTCAGTGGTTCAAACCCACCAGCCGCTCCGTGGAAGAAAGATGAGGCAGTCTGCTTCCACAAAGACCTGCAGCCTTGGCAACCCTACAGGACAGTTCTGTTTTGTCCAAAAGAGTTGCTATGAGTTGCAAGCGACTTGATGGCAGTGGGTTTTATCTTTCTAGTTACTGCAGACACTCTATGTCCCCCTGATTGCGTGGCAAGAGCCCCATGCCTGTTATCTCTGCCAGCTCCGTGCCCACGGACCAGGTACTTAGTATCATTAGGGCCTTTAATGACTGTTGCCTGCCATGCTGAGGTTTAATCCCAGCCCTAGTTATTCACGGGCAGAGGGACTGAGTAGCTTCAGCCAAGAAAGGGTCAAGGGAGACTTCCTGTAAGAGGAGGCATTGGAGCTGAGCCTTGAAGAATCTGGATTGGTTGGCGTTTCTGGCAGAGATACAGCTGTGTGCCAAAGCATGTTGGCACTAGATAGCATTGTGTGTCTGCAGGAAGCCAGGTGATTGGGCCTGGCTCTTGTGGAGAAACAAGTTGGGGCCTGTGGATGCCTTCAGAGGGAGGGATTCCCTTCTATTCATTGAGGATCCAGAAGATCTCAAAGAGGTGGTAACAATTGAGCTGGGATGCGAGGCTGGGTCAGAGTGGACAGGGAAAGGTTTTGGATGGTACAGAATTTACAGAAGAGAGAAAGGGGCAAGGCCAAGGGGCAGAAGCTGGCTTGAAAGTGGGTTTGTTCCCCTTTCTTTTTTAGAATTGGAGAGATTCACATTTGTTGGTTGAGTGGAAGAAACCAGGAGAGGCTGGAATGCCAGAAGAGGGGGGATGGCAGCAGGCGACAGGGTGAGAGGGAGGCTGGAGGGTTAGCGTTGTTGAGGTTGAACCTTGGTTCCCTGCCTCCAGCCCCTAAAATGTCACACTGGGGCTCTGTATTATGCCTGGTGATTTTAAATCATACAAAAGCATGGCTTCATCTCTGTTAATCTGGGAAAGGAATTCTCTATTGGGAACTATTAGGTCTTTAACACCTCTCTAACACTTGTTTAAAGGAGCTCTGGGGACGTAGTGCATAAGGCATTTGGCTGCTAACCACAAGGTCAGCAGTTCAAACCCACCAGCTGCTCTGGGGGAGGAGGATGAGGCAGTCTACTTCTATAGAGATACACAGCCTTCCAGACCCTATGTGGGTCTCTGGTTCAGAATGGACTTGATAGCAGTGGGTAATACTTGTTGGAGGAACCCTGGTGGCACAAGGATAAAGCACTCAGTTGCCAACCCAAAGGTTAGGGGTTTGAATCCAGCAGCGGCTCTGGGAGAAAACTCCTGGCAATTTTTCTTCTCCTGTAAAGATTACAGCCAGGAAAACCCCAGGGCGCAGTTGTACTGTGTCGCTGTGAGTCAGAATTGACTCGGTGGCACCAGGTACAATCCTTGTTTATCTCCCTGATTAACAAAAATAGTCTCTAGGCACTAGCCTAAAGCTACAGCGGTGACTGGTTAGAGTTTAATAACCCTTGTCTGGTTTTATTGTGTTTGTTTATTTTGTACTTTGGTAAAAAAAAATAATATATAACATTTGCCTCTTCTATTTTGGACCTGTATGATTCAGTGATAGCCACTATATTAATCATATTGTGCGACCATGACCCATATCTGTTGCCAAGTTTTCCATCCCCATAAATATTGTATGGGAGCTCTGGTAGCGTAGTGCCTAAGGCACTTGACTGCTAACCAGGAGGCTGTCTGTTCAAACCCACCAGCCCCTCCTCGGAAGGAAGACGGGGCAATCTACTTCCGTAGTGATACCGCCTCAGAAACCCAAGGAGGGGTCGCTATGAGTCGGGTCTGACTCAACAGCACATTAACAACAACAACAACAAAATATTATATTGATTAATTGATTTTCTTATTTTCAAAAGTTCCATTGTGATTTGGGGTGAAAGTTTACAGAGCACATTGTCTTCCGTACAGCAGTTCACACACATTTTGTCTCCTGGCATTGAGTACAGTTCCCCACAGTTTAACAGCTCTCTTCCCACTTCCTGTTCCTGCAAGTTAGTTCTTCCCTGTGTCCTTTCCCTCCCAGGCACCCCTGCCCCCTCCCCTCCAGCTATCTCCCTGTGCAAACACTGACTGCCTATTGTATTTATTTTTAAGGTTAACTTAAGCTTTGGTGAAACAATGGCTGTTTTAAGTGCAGAGGCAATCAATTTGAAGATAAGTGCAGGTTATGCAGATCAGTGGGTAGAAGATGGCTTTAGGAATGGGTGGGGAAGTCATCTTTGTCCAGAAAGCTCTTCAGAATTCTGGAAGAGCGGGACGGGGCAGGAAGTAAGGCCACCCCTGGTGCCTAACAGTCATGCTTCAGCGGGAGTTTCCTGATTTGCCTTGAACTACTGTTCTGTGAAGAGACTTTGGCAAGTGGGTTCTTGAGGAATTTTGGTACAGCACAGAGTGTTAATAAATTTACTTTGGGAGGGGTGGGAGAGGGTTCCCTGCAGAAAAAAGTTTGGGAAACCGTTCTCTAGTTCCTTGTGCTTGTTGGAATAGTCGAGGCTCTGGGCAGTGCTAGGCTCAGGAAACCTGTTTAACTTTGTTCAGCCTTCTTTTGTCTCTGTAGCTTGAATACCCAGCACCTTCCATGAACACTGAGTGAGTGAATGAATGAAAAGCTATAAATGAGGTTGGTCAAGGGGTGCTTAGAAGAAATTTAAGTTGTCGACATTGGGTTGGTGCCATTCAGTCATTCATGCAGCGGATACCTATGCACTGGGCTTTGTGTTAGGTACTGGGAGTGCAGAAGTGGAAACAGACAAATTTCCCCTTGTGGCGTTTGCTTTCTGGTTGAAGAGAGAAAATGTTAGGGCTGTAAGTCAGGCCTTGGGCAGCTGGCTAGCAAGCTGGGCAATTGTGCATCAAGGGCAGAGATTAGAAGAGATGAGAAATAGCCGTGAGCGAAGGAGAAATGAGACGAAGTGGGGGATCAGGCTGCTGACGGATCTCTTTGGTGTTACATCAAATACGGTGTGTAGGGTGTTCGTGTACTTGGCAGAATGTTTTATAACCTATAAGGCCCACAAACTATAATTACCTCATTTGATCCTGCCGCGGCGCAGCGGGGTCGGCAGGGGCTGGATCGTTACGAGGACTCTGAGGCTCAGGGAAGGCAATACACTTGCCCAGGGTCTCGAATCCAGATGGTGATGGAGCTGGGCCCGAAACCCAGGGCTCTTGGCCCGGTGGCATGAGCCACTGTCTTTGTGGGCCGAGTACAGAGCCGCGCGGAACTGTCCCGTGGGGAGGATTGTAGGCTCCCTGAGAGCTGAGGACTGAGGTCTCCGTCTCCACCTTGTGGCCATCAGGTGCTATGACAAGCGTCTGTGGCCTCGAATGGACCTGAGCCGGCGGAAGTCACTGACTCCGCCCATGCTCAGCGGTGTGGTTCGGCGCCAACCCCGGGCCCTGGACCTCAGCTGGACGGGTGTCTCCAAGAAGCAGCTAATGTGGCTTCTGAATCGACTGCAAGGTAGGACGGGGTGCCAGGTGGGACGCGGGTGGGGAAGCGCGTGGACCCGGGACGGAACCTTCCCAGCACCGGCTTCCTGGTTCCCCCAGGCCTGCAGGAGCTGGTGCTTTCTGGCTGCTCCTGGCTCTCCGTCTCAGCCCTGGGCTCAGCCCCACTGCCGGCCCTGAGGCTCTTGGACCTCCGCTGGATCGAGGACGTTAAAGACTCCCAGCTCCGCGAGCTGCTGCTGCCTCCGCCCGACACCAAACCAGGTGCGGCCTCAGCTTGTTCATCTGCACGGTGGGCCGGGCGAGCTGTGAGTAGAGGCCTGGTTAGGTCTCTCTTGATTGACAGAGTGTTAAGTATTTGAATAAAGGACACATAAATATGAATGGGAGGGCCTGGCGGTGCAATAACCCTCCAGCCGCTCCGTGGGGGAAAGATGAGGCAGTCTGCTTCCATAGAGAGTTACAGCCTTAGCAACCGAGTAGGGGTCACCGTGAATTGGACTAGACTTGGTGGCAGTGAGGTTTTTTTTTGTTTTGTTTTGCGGTGCAGTAGTTAAGTGTGCGGATACTAATAGAAACGTTGGCAGTTTGAACTGACGCAGCGGGTCCATGGCAGAAACATGTGGCAGTCTGCTTCCTTAAAGATTTACAATCTTGGAAACCCTATAGAGTCCTGTAGGGTCACTAGGAGGCAGAGTTGACTGGATGGCAGCGGTTTTTAGTTGACTTAGTTCTTGTTCATTCATTCACTCACTGTGTGCTGGGCCTGTGATAGGAGCTGAGGGAACAGGATGAAGACACACAGCCCTTACCCTCCAGTGGGGAGGAGAAATACATAATGAAGTACGAAAGAGGATGAGAGAAGAATCTGGGAGAAGCCAGGGCCGGGTCGAGTGTAAGTGGCACTGGCCAGGTGTGCTGGCACAGCTGGAGAGTTGCTTCCCGAGGGAACGGTGGTGGTTGCCAGGAGAAACGCAGGCTCAGTGTGGCCGGTCAGCTCAGGTTACCCAGAGGAGCGAGAAGTCTGCATTTTCCTATGACTTGGTCTGGTTTCTGAGTGACGAGAACAGATTTTAATTCTTTTAGAATTCATGTGTGGCCCCAATAAAAATAGGACTGAGACAATGGATTTGGCCCACGACCCCTTGCCCTAAGTAAAAGGTTAAGACTTTTTCTGAGAGAATACAGCGAAACAGGGAGCCGTTGAACGTGGCTAGTGGCCTGGCAACAGTAGTATCTTCTCCTAAGTCAGAGCGGCCTCCTCTTCCCCACAGATGACGTTCAGGTGCCTGTCAGGTAAAGCGAGCCTGTATTGTTGAACTCACACTCCAGGCCTGGCAGCTCTGTGCAGGGTCCTGGCGACCCCAAGCTGAATCAGCCCCAGTCCCCGACCTGGTAGAACCCCAGTCACATAGAAGAGAGATCCCCAGAAATAGAAGGATGTGGCATGATGTAGTAAGAACGGGTGTCTCTAAGAAGCAGCTCAAAGTGTGTGGCGTAGACTGGTGTGGAAGGGGGTGAAAGAACCCCTCTTTGGGGAGGTGCTGTTTGATGTTTGAGGTGAGCCTCGAAAAAGACAATAGTTTTCCAGGCAGAGAACCGTCCGTGCTAGAGTCTAGGGAGTGTGAGGCGTAATGAGCAGTTGGGTGAGGCATGAGGCCTGTACTAGCTGAGGGGCATGCTGGGAGCTGAGGCTGGTCAGGGGGGCAGAGGCTCGGAGATCATTTAAAAAAGGAAGAAAAGAAACCCACTGCCTTCGAGTCCATTCTGACTCATGTTGTTGTTGTTATGCGCCGTCGAGTCGCACCCGACTCATAGCGACCCCTCCTTGGGTTTCCGAGGCGGTATCCCTACGGAAATAGATTGCCCCATCTTCCTTCCGAAGAGTGGCTGGTGGGTTTGAACCGCCAGCCTTCTGGTTAGCAGTCCAGTGCCTTAGGCACTATGCTACCAGAGCTCCTATTCTGACTCATAGCAACCCCCATTGGGTTTCCAAGGCTGTAAATCTTTACGGAAGTACATTGCCTCATCTTCCTCCTACAGAGCAGCTGATGGGTTTGAAACACCGACCTGGTTAACAGCCAAGTGCCTTACCCACTATGCCACCAGAGCTCCTTTTAGGACTCATACGGAAGGCTAATATATAGGCCTGGGGAGGGGGTGGGAACCAAGGGCTGGTGGTTCTCGCAGGAGATGAGATGCTCACAGTGTCCTGTCCAGCCCCACCAGTCTGTTCTCCACCTTGGAGCCAGGGCAGTCATCCAGAAAGGGCAGATCTGAATGGGTTACTGCTGTCCTGGGAACTCCCCTTGCTGCCCAGTGCTCTGGATGTAGATCAGTACTTTACCAAGGCTACTGCAGCACGAAGTGGTCTGTCTGGCTCCCACTGACCTTTCCAGCCACCGTCTCTCAAGCTGAGCCTGCATTTCCACCTCCTTGCCAAGCTCCCTGCAGCCCCAGGCCCTTTGCTCAGTCCTCATTGCTTGGAATGTTCTATCTACCTTTACCTGGTTAGCACCTAATGTCTTCCAGGCCTCAGTTTAAGTGCCATTTCCTTCTGGGGTCCCTCCTCTGTCCTCCATGGAGATCGGAGTCCCTCTCAGTGGACCTGTGTACCCCACCCAGCTTGTCACTGTGTAGTTGTGAAATGATTGGGTTACTATCTATCTCCTCCCACTGGGTTCTTTTTGTAATTTATTTATTGTGGTGACAGTAGACACACTAGAACAGTCTCCAGTATAGCAGCTTCCACAATCCCACTGGCTTGGTGAGCTGCTTGATGGCAAGCCTGTCTGAGACAGTTCACGCTGTGTCCCTAGCACCTTGCTGGGTGGTCTGCTCAGCACGTGTGTGTGTGTTGAGTGAATCAGCTGAATGAGCAAACCACCAGTGGGGGCGGGGGGGGAGGGATCGGTTTTGCTAAAGGCGATTTGTCGAGCCCTGAAAGAAGGGACCAAAAGGATCTTCCTTCTTCAAGTTCCTTCCCAGCCATGTTCTCTTCTCCCCACCCCCAACCCCTTCCCAGAAGCTCTGGAGAAGAGTGGAGAAGCAAGTAGAATTTTCCCAGGCTTCCCAGAGGGATTGAGTAACTGCTGCAAGTCACACAGGCAGAGCCAGGCACATACTGGCGCATTGCCTGGTCTTAACTGTGATTGGCTTGAGCCAGGAAGATGTGGGCAGGGGTGAGGCGAGGTGGGCTGGGCAGCAGCAGGGCTGGTGCATTTCATCCGGTGAGAAAAGGCGGGCAGGCTGGCTGACTCGCCGACAGACTCTGTCTCCTCTTGCTTGGATTCATTTCAGTTCCAGCCCCTTTATCAGGCCTGGGCCGGGAGCCGGCAAAGATGAACCTGGTGGGCCCCCCAGGCTTGCTGTGCATATTGGGACCCCACACCCGCCTTCCTGTCGCTGCTACCTGGCTTCATGCCGCATCCCAGGAGCAAAGCGGAAAGTTCTCCTTGTTCCCTAGGGTAATCTCCATTTCTCCCCTGCCTGCTCTCTGCCTGCGGTACTCCTCCCGGACTCATCTGCGTCTTCAAATCCTTAGAAGGCCGGTTGCTGCCACTTGATTGCAGTCCTCACTGATGCCCGCCCACATCTGCCTGCACAGTCCAGAGTGACCTCTTTCTGTGCCTCTCCAGTGGCTGAGGTTGAGGGTGCCTAGCAGTACTCCTTCCCAGGGTTTCAGTTTTGTAAACACAAACCAAAAAAAAAAAAAAAAAACTCACTGCCATCGAGTCGATTCTGAATCACAGTGACTGTCACTGGGTTTCCAAGGTGGTAAATCTTTACGGAAGTAGATTGCCCCATCTTCCTTCTGCAGAGTGGCTGGTGGGTTTGAACTGCCAGCCTTCTGGTTAGCAGTCAAATACCTTAGGCACTGTGCCACCAGAGCCCTTAAAGACCGGGCAGGGTAGGTGGAATTCAGGGCTTGCAAAGTCCAGTGCACATAGAGGTGGCCTGGCAGGTAACAGAAGTGACGTGCTGGTGGGGACAGTAGGGAGTGGCTCTAACAACCCAGCTCCAGGCAGTCATTGGTAGCCACTGGTGCCAGACTATAGGATTTTTTTTTTAAGGAAAAAAAGCTCATTTTCTGAATTTTTTTTTTCAAAATGTCCTTTTTAAAATTATGGTAAATATATATAACAAAACATTGCTCAGTTCAAGCATTTTTATCTGTACGATTCAGTGAAAAACGCCTTCTTAAAATGTCATTAATTTAAGAGAAATTTTGGCATGATGCAGATTCCATAAAACACTTGTAGGCTGGATTCAGGAGTTTGTGACATCTGATGGTGGCGCCCAGGAGGCAGATGGCATTGTGATGAGAGCCTGGACGTAAGCGTCACCTGGCTCTGTTACTTCATAGTCACATGCTCTTGGACAGGTTGGCTAATGATGGGAGCCGTGGTTTTCTCACCCGTAAATGGGAATGGTGACCAGACAGCTTGTCTCCTAAGGCTGTGTGGCTGTTAGGCTGTGGTGTCCGGACCTGCAGCATCAGCACCACTGGAGAACTTGTTGGAAAAGTCAGCTCCGGGGCCCCACCCTAGACCAGCTTAAACCAGGCCTTTAACGAGAGTCTGTGACGATGTGGATTCTGATTCAGTGTATCGTGTGCAAAAGCAAGTGCTTAGCAGGGGATTCGAAGCCGAGTCTCAGCTCTGGGGGTGGGACAGCAACCCATTTTAACCAGCCGTCCGGGTGATGCTGCCGCCTGGCCCACAGTCAGTGTTCAGTTAATGACAACTAGTGCTCCGTGGGCACTTCATGGGGAGGAAAAAAAAAAAACAAAACACGACTTTCTAAAAATACATGAATGTGATGGATCAGTAACAGAAATGCAGACCGTGTGCTTTGGGGGCGGAGAGGAAGGATGTGACTCCTCTTGCCTGGTGCTCGGGGCGGAGGGGGCCTCTGGCTGCGCAGAATGCTGAGCACAGGCAGAGCCTGTCAGGGCAGGAGCCGTTGTAGAGTTTGGCTCATGTGTTTGGGTTGAGGGAGAAGAGTTATGAGCTGAGACAGGCCAGACGCAGTAGGAACTGGATTATTCTACCAAGGAGATTGTGGTCTGATTTGAGGCAGCCTCAGAGGGTTTCTCATAGTGGGTAAGGCATCTGGATGCTAACCAGGAGGTCACTGGTTCAAACCCGCCAACTGCTCTGAGGGAGGAAAATGAGGCAATCTACTTCCGTAAAGATCTCCAGCCTTGGAAACCCAGCGAGGGTCGCTATGAGTTGGAATCGACTCTCAGAGTTTTTAGCAGAGGAAGGATATTGTCCCATTTACAGTTTGTTTTAGATTCCTGGAGAAACTGGAGTGAGTGAGGAAGCTGGGACGGTGGTGTTGACCTAGACTGGTGACTGGGGGCGATGGAGAGAAAGGGGTCCACATGGTGACTTTATTAATCATGGGGAGAAAGGGAAGAGCCTGGCATGGTAGTCCTTCAGGGAAGTTGGATGAATGAAGGGAAGTTTATTGAGCAGTTGCTGGGAATATAGCAATGAACAAGACAGACAGTGAACTATATGGACAAAAATGACTGCCTTCATGAAACTGACATTCTGGGGGGAAGGAAAGATGAGTAAGAGAAAAACCAATAAAAACTTGTCAGTGAGAGAAGGGAGAAAAATACTGTAGGGAAGGGGGTGGTAGGAGTGTGTGAAATGTTTCCAACGGAGGGATCAGGGAACGCCTCCCTGAGGCAGCGCTCTAAGCAGCGGACAGATGAGGACAGGGAACAGGTCTGTGGGTGTCTGGGAGGAGAAAAAGCCAGGCAGAGTACAGCTGGTGAGGCCCCCTTCCCGCGGGAGCAGGTAGAAGAGAATGAAGGACATGCACGAGGAGTCAGTGCCAGTCGGGGTGCTTGGGCGCAGGGACACAAATGGCCAGGAGTGTGACCCCCTCCTCTGTGCACCCAGGCCAAACGGAGAGCCGTGGTCGGCTGCAGGGGGTAGCGGAGCTGCGCCTGGCGGGCCTGGAGCTGACTGACGCCTCCCTGCGACTCCTGCTGCGCCACGCCCCCCAGCTGAGTGCCCTGGACCTGAGCCACTGCGCCCACGTCGGGGACCCCAGCGTCCACCTCCTCACAGCCCCCACTTCCCCGCTCCGCGAGACCCTCGTGCACCTCAATCTCGCTGGTAAGCGCGGCCCTCTGTGTGTCCTGCTAGCTTGTTGGCCCCCGGGGCCAATGCCTACACCCCTGCCCACCTGCCTGGTCTCAGCTGCTCACTGCCCCTCCATGCCCAGGTTGCCACCGCCTCACGGACCACTGCCTCCCGCTCTTCCGCCGCTGCCCACGCCTACGCCGCCTAGACCTGCGCTCCTGCCGCCAGCTCTCACCTGAAGCTTGTGCCCGGCTGGCAGCCGCCGGGCCCCCAGGCCCCTTCCGCTGCCCCGAGGAAAAGCTACTTCTCAAGGACAGCTAGTTGGGTGCCCCCCATGCTCCCCCAGGACTCATCAGGAGCCTGGACCTTTGGCTTTCATTTCATCCCCTGCCAGGAGGCCAGGTTACCCACCTCATGACTGGGAATTCCTGAGTTTTATGACTTGGGATTCCTTCCCAGGGACTAGAGCCAGCCTCCCTCTCCCTTCCCCCTGCACTGATATCTCTGGGGGTCTCTCCTTCCCGTCCCCTCCACCTTCCACCTACTTCATTGTCCATCCCCTGGGGGGAGTGGGTCAGAGGTACTGGGGGGGGTGCTGAGCCAAAGGGATGGTGGGAGGGGGGCTAAGGTGCAAGTTGGAGGGGGGGACATGGGGGAAGGGTACCTGTGCACAGGATGCTGGGAGCCAGGGGGCTGGGGGAGGTGGAGGAAGGGGCTGGGGGGAGGGGGCAGAAAGCAGACCATCAAGGGTTCAGGGAACAAAGACCAGATACTTGGAGTTGGGGGGGTGGGGGGCCAAAAAGGGAAAAACCAGAGGGGCAGTTGAGGATCCGGGTGTCAGAGGTAAGGGAACCCCGGGGAGCCAGGGGAAGCCAGGACTTTGAGAGGGGTTGGGGAGACAAGAGCAGGTGTGGGGGCAGTCGTACCCCCCTCAGGGGGATCACCCCTCGCCTTTCCCCTCCCCAGATTTCAGTCCCTTTCTCCCAACCCTGACTCCTTGAACGTCACTGACAATGGCAGCTATTGTGGGAGTGGGGGCCGGGGGCCTACTCTGTTCAGGACGGCCCAAGGGAGTGGCGAGGGGCGACTGCAGCCCCTGCCTGCCTCCCTGCACAATACTTGAACATTCATCTGTACTGAAGTGTTACTTGAACCGGGGCAACCTCGGACCTGGGGGAGCTGGAGTGTGAGGGGACAGGCCCAGCTTGAACCGAGACCGGTCGCTGGGCCACCAGTCCGGACTGCACCACCCCAGGCGCGCTCTCGCTTTACTGTATTGAGCAGCTCCACCCCTCTTGACACGAGGGGGGGCGGTGCCAGCCCAAGGATGGGGACGATGGAACTTCTCCAGTGTGGCTCTTCCAACTCTTTCATCGTCATGGAACCTTGTACCTATTTGCCCAGGGAACTGCCACTCCCGGTTGCCATGGAAATAGCAGCCAATGGACACCTCCCGATGCCAGTGCTAAGGCTGGAAATGGCCCCTCTTAGTTGCCATGGGAACTTAGTAACAGACTCTTGGCCCTTCCCGCCTGCCCCTTCCTCCAGCGTGGGGGCGGGGCTTCTGGAGCCAGGGGGAGGGATCGGGCCGGGTCCCACCCCTCAGCCCAGGCTCCCCTGGGGAGCCAGGTCGTACCGAGTAGGGGCGGGGGAATCTATCCACATACCTCAGGTAACTGACTGGGAGGTGCACGGGTGGGGGGAGGGACTGGGCGGACCAAAGGCCGGAGGGGCGGGAGGCCTGGGGATCGAGAAAGGCTCGAGATGGAGCTGCTTGGGGGAGGGGAGGAGGCAGCCCGGTGAGGGGCAGGTGGAGGACCCAGCCGGGCTGGGCCCCTGGGCCCCTGGGCCCCTGGGCCCCGGGTCTATACAATACGGTTTGCTATAAAACTCAAAATCTTCCAGCCGGGGCAGCTGTGTTCGTGTGTGTGTGTGTATGTGTGTGCGCGGCGTTGGGAAACGGATGGCAGGAGTGCCCGCTACTAGAGCGGGAGGGTCTTGGGATGGATCTGGAGGCCTGGGACCCCCCCACCCCAGGCTCCTTGGAGCTGGGGCTGCAAGGCCGCCTGTGGTCCCCGCAGCTGGATTAGAAGCGCCTGGGCGCATCTTCCCCGATCTCGGTATTTAGAGAGGGGTTTGGACGTCTGGGCACTTCGGCCCACCCAGGTGCACTTGGAAGGGACCCAGGACACCCAGGCCCAGATACTCCCGGTCACACTCGACGGGCCCCGGGCGTTCGCTTCGGTGGGGCTCGGTTGCCTGCGTGATGCTCTTCGGCGGCCGGGAGCGCGGGGACCCTCGGGGCCTCTGCTGGTGGAGCGGGGGCTGGGTCCCCGCGGCCCCACCCCATCATGTGGCCGCCCGGGCTCCGCCTCCGCCCCAGTTCCTGTTTCGGCCTCTGCGGTCCCGCGCCGGCCCCTGGGGCTCCCGCCGACGCCCGTTCTTCCTGCTCCACCCGGGCCGCCTCTTCCTGGGCGCCCGCCGCCAGCATCCCCGCTCGCCTCGCCGGGAGATGGGGCTTCTCCCCGGCTCGGGCCGGCCATCCCAGGGTCCCCGAGGCGTGTCGGCCCCGCCGTGACCCCCAGGATGAAGGGCGGAGAGGGGGACGCGGGCGAGCAGGCCCCGCTGAACCCCGCTGGCGACGGCCCCGCGGCCTCGGCCACGTACCGAGAGTTCGTGCACCGCGGCTACCTGGACCTCATGGGGGCCAGTCAGCACTCGCTGCGGGCGCTCAGCTGGCGCCGACTCTACCTCAGCCGGGCCAAGCTCAAGGCCTCCAGCCGCACGTCCGCCCTGCTGTCGGGCTTCGCCATGGTGAGGGACGGCAGGGGGCGCACAGGGTGGGAGTGGCGGCACCTGCGTGGGCACAGGGTCGTGCGTGAACGGCCCTCCGGGAACACAGGGCACAGTGTGAGGAAGATGGCTTGTTCAGGGGGTGAAAGGGGACGGAACACGGCTCCGGAGGACTGTGCGAGCCCCTTTTCCTGGGGTGGGGGGGGTGGACAACCAGGCTCCCAGGAGCGTAAACAGGACAGTGGGGAGGTCATTGAGTCCCAAAGGTGTCACCGGGTCAGGGGGAGAAAGACGCAACAATGGAGCAAAGAGATCCAAAAGGAACACAGCCCAGCTGGGAAAGTGGTTATCCTGGTCCCCGGAGAGGTTCAGGGAACGGGGATAATCCAAACGGGGCGGGGCTGTGTAACTAGGGCTGCAGGGCTGGAGGAGGCCCAGAGAGGAGCCTGGATGGTGGGGTCACCCCGCAAGAGGTGGGCCCGTCCCACGGGGGTGACTACCACCGAGCAGCCACAGAAGGGTGCTGAGGGCTGCCCAGGAAAGCTTTGAGAAGAGATGCCAGTGAGGAAGCCTCTAGGGATGGGAGCGGATTAGGAAGTTGATAAAAGATTCCTCCACCCGATAAACTGAAGACGTGGGCGGCAGTCATTTAACGGTCCCAGCAGGGGCCCCATAGGAAGGTCCCAGAGTGAGGAGTCAGCTGACACAAGTTCTGGCTTCTCCCAGCTTCTGGTCTACTGTGTGACCCTGGACAGGCCTCCACTCCCTCCAAGGCCAGTGGGAAATCAAATGAGATCATGGAGGGTGCGCCCTCCGTTGTTTGCCAAGAACCTGCCCTGGGGTGAGCTGTGATGGTTGTCATCAGGAGCTCTGTCTCCAAACATGTCAAAGCAGGACCCACACCAGAGATGGCTCAGACTAAGCTGCTCATTGGACAGGCGGGGAAACCGAGGCACAGAGTGGGGCGGGTGCTCTGCCAAGGGCACTCAACAGATGAAGGATACAGAATGAACTAAGACCCTGCCTCGCTGGACTTAGTCCAAGGTTTCCCCACCTTGGGGACAGGAAGGAGGAGAAAGGGGGTTGGAGGAGTGGCATCTTGGAAGGTGCTCCCGTGGAAAAGATAAGGGATATGGGCCTAGAATCAGCTGAGGTGGGGGTCAGGTGATTTGGGGTAGTCCCTGCCCCTCTCTGTGTTACAGCCTCTGTATTTGAAAGATGACAGGGGAAGTCTCTACTGGTATTGACCTGTCCAGGATCCACAGGTCAGCCCACCCCTCCTGGTGAGTGTCATTTTGGTCAGAGAGTTGACTCACCTTCATCTGTCCCAAATGCAGAGGACAGGGAGCAGACTCCTTGTACCTAACTAGGGGAGGTCTCCCACCCCCATCAGGCCATGGTCCAGCCTGTTCCCAAGGGGACAGTCCAACCTGTTGCTAGGGTGACAGCTTAAAGGCCAAGGTCTTCTCTGCAGGATCAAGATGTCCAATGTGTAGGTTCTAGGGGCAGGACTGACCCCAGCCCTGGCAGGGGAGAAGAGTGCTAGGCCAGGCTGTGGAAGAAACCAGGACTAAGCCATGGCCTGGGTCCCTGTCTGTGGAAAAGACTTGTTGATACTAACCATGGCTCGATTTCCCAAAATACTCAGTCCTGCTTCTTATCACCACTCGCCAGGCTCTGCACTTTGCTTCTGCTTCCCCCAACCCCAAACAATCTAATGGACTGTAAGAGAACCAGGGATGGAGAAACAACAAAATTCTGGAAGCCACATGGAATCCATTATTACACAAATTGCACTGAACTATCACCAAGTACTGGACACTGCTCAAGGGAATTATGTGCATCATCTTTCTATTGCCCTATGAAGGAGGTCCCACTACTGTGACCCATTTACAGATATGGAAACTGAGAATCAAGGATGTAAACACCTGCCCAAGGTCTCACAGCAAGTTAGTGGCAGAGAGCAGGCTTTGAACTTAGGCAGTCTGGCTGAAGAGTCCAGGTTTATGAAAGCCTTGAACAGAGTCAGCAACTCAAACGTTTGCTATGGCCAGTTAGGTAATATGGACATCAGGTTGACTGGGTGGGGACTGCAACAATCTAGAGACCCCATGACCTGTCCACGGCACATACCCATGACTCAACCATGGCTGATAGCTGCCATGCAGTACTGTGAACCTACTGTGGCCAGATCTTCTGAATTTTCAAGAGGATTTGGAGAAAGGGATATGAAAATGAAATCTCTTAAGTTATAAAGGTTGGCAGCTGATTGAATTGTTTTAAAAAAAAAACATACTGGGTGAGCCAAGGAAAACATGGCTGCAGGATGCCTTTGGCTTATTGGCATGCCAGTTTGCAACCTGTGACCTAGGACTTTAGTGTTAACTATAGTAATAACTAGGATCTCTGGTAGCATAGTGCCTAAGGCTGCAAACCAGAAAGCTGGTGGTTCAAACCCACCAGCCACTCCTCAGAAGGAAGGCTGGGCAATCTACTGACGTAGTGATACTGCCTCAGAAACCCAACGAGGGGTCACTGTGAGTCGGGTCTGACTCAACGGCACAGAACAACAACAACATAGTAATAACTATAGGAGCTCCAGCGGTGCAGTGGTTAAGGCATTTGGTTGCTAACCAAAAAGCCGGTTGTTCAAACCCACCAGCTGCACCATGGAAGAAAGATGATGCAGTCTGTTTCCATGGAAACCCAATGGGGGTCACTGTGAGACGGAATCAACTTGACGAAAGTGAGTTTGGTTCAGCTTCTAGTAATGACAGGAAACACTTGCATAGTGCTCCTACCTGCCTGGCACTGTTTGTTTGTTTGTTTTCTACCTTCTTATTGTGATTCAAGCCAAAGTTTACAGAGCAAACTGGTTTTCCTTTCCACTGTTGATACATGTTTTGTTCTGTGATATTGACATGTAACAGCACTCTTCCCATTTCCTCCCTATGGGTACCATGTCTGTCCTTCCCTGTCCATTCCTGTCTTCAGAGCGTTATCCCTGGGCAAATGCTGCCCTTTCAGTCTCAGGGTTGATTGTTCTCAAGCGTGACTACTTCCCTTCCTGGTGTTACTGTTCACCCCATAGGCCTGTCCATTATTTGGTAGTGAGTTCAGTTCTAGACTTGAAGGGTGCTGACTCTGGGCCACAGTCTCAGGGGTTATATAAGTCTCTGTCAGAACAGTTAAGCCTGGTCTTTTGTTTATGATTGTGAGTTTTATTCTCCCATTTTTCTCTCTCTGTCCAGGACCTCTAACTGGGATCCCTTTCACAGTGGTCAGCCAGGCACCATCTAATTCTTCTCGTCTCAGGATTGTGAAGGTTGAGGTTGCCATAGCCCGTTAGGCACTTGGAGCAATTACTTCTGTGTGTCTTTGATATTCTTCACTCTCCTCTGCTCCGGACAAGGAGACACCAGTAGTTACACCTTAGACAGCTGCTTGCAAGCTTTTGAGACCCCAGTCACTACTCAGCAAAGTAGGATATAGAAGAACATTGTCTTGGTGGACCATAACCAATTGACCTGATGTCTCCTGTGACTATGGTCCTAAGCTCCTGGCACTGTTTTTTTTTTTTTTTTTTTAATTGTGATTTGGGTGAAAGTTTACAGAGCAAATTCACTTTCCATACAGCAGTTCACACACACGTTGTCTCATGACATTGACAGTTTACCCCAATGCAATACCTCCCCTCCCACATCCTCCCATGGTTACCTCTTCCCTGTGTCCATCCCTCCATGCACTCCTGCCCTCTGAACTGTCTCCCTGTGCGTAAACAGCCCTTCTTTCTCCCATGATTGTTCTCTCCAAGGAATATATCTACCTCAGGTGCATGTTCAGCTCTTATCCTGGCACTGTTTTTAATGCATGGTGTGTATTCTCATTTGATTTTCACTACAACCCTATGAGGCAGGAGACAAAATTGAGGCCCAGAGAGAAATAAACCACTTACTCAAGATCACGCGATTTGGACAACTGAGATTCGAACCCAGGCAGCCCGACTCCAGAGTCTACGCTATGTAACCCTTAGTTATACCAAGTTAAGACTGTCAGAGACATGCTGTCCAGCCCTCTCAATAGCCAAATGGAAACTGAGGTCCAGAACAGGACAACCTGGCAAGGCTGCCCATTCATTCATTCACTCAGCAAAGACTAAGTACCTTCTCTGAGCCAGGCATGTTTTAGATGATGATGTATCCCAACAGGCAAAAACAGAACAATACCGTGGAGGTTATGGATACTGTTCTGGTTCCCTAGTGCCGCTCTGACAGGAACATATCACAAATGGGGTGGCCTTAACAAACAGGAGTTTATTCTTACAATTTGGAGGCTTTAAGTTCAAGTGCAAAGTGCCAAGCTCTAGGGGTTGGGTGAAAGCCCCTCAACCTTGGGGGTCCAGCTCTGCCTCCTGCTCCTGGCCCACTGGAGCTAGAGGCGTTTCTTCACTCAGATGGCTGCTGGCTACTGAAGCTGCCAAGCCCAAGGTTGACAAGTCAAAAGGCACAGTCCCGATGTTACCAAACCACATGGCAGGCCATTAATTTAAGTCCATTTTAAGTCCCAAGGTCGGCAGAGCATAGCAGGCTGCTCAACAAAGACAGCTACATGCAGGGTTCAAACGTGCCACAGGCCAGAGACCATGCTCACAGCTTCTCCTTCTATACAGGAAGCAGACCATATACCCAAAGGCAGCTACTCAACTGCTCATAGTAGATTCCACCATGGAGTTGATTACCAGTCTCATCATGGGGAATACTACATCCAGCTGCCCAGCCAGTCAGCCAGGCCCAGCCAAGTTGACGTACAAACATAACCATCACAGATACTCAGTCAGTGTCCTCTTGTCCCCACAGGTGGCCATGGTGGAGGTACAGCTGGAGAACAAACACGAGTACCCGCCAGGCTTACTGGTGGCCTTCAGTGCCTGCACCACCGTGCTAGTAGCTGTGCACCTCTTTGCCCTCATGGTCTCCACGTGTCTGCTGCCCCACATTGAAGCCGTTAGCAACATCCACAACCTCAACTCTGTCCACCAGTCACCACACCAGCGACTCCACCGCTACGTGGAGCTGGCCTGGGGCTTCTCCACTGCCTTGGGCACCTTCCTCTTTCTTGCTGAAGTTGTCCTGGTTGGCTGGGTCAAGTTTGTACCCATTGGGGCTCCTTCAGGCACACCGGCTCCTGTGGTAGCTGCCTCCCAGGTGCCTGGGACTGTGCCACCGGTGGCCACCCCTCTTAGCCCAGCTTCAAAGCTCCTGCCATCCCCTGGTTCTGGAGCCCCGTCACATGCCGGGTCACCTGAGGCCTGCCCACCCCGGCAAGTGTGCGGTGGTAGCGAGGCCCACGGGCCAGGCTGGCAAGCAGCCATGGCCTCTACAGCAATCATGGTACCTGTGGGGCTCGTGTTTGTGGCCTTTGCCTTACATTTCTACCGCTCCTTGGTGGCACACAAGACAGACCGTCACAAGCAGGAGTTAGAGGAGCTGAGTCGCCTGCAAGGGGAGCTGCAGGCTGTGTGAGGCTGGTGTTAACCTCCGTTGCAAGCACTGCCTCCCTCAGGGGTCGGCCAGAGGCCCCAGTGGCCTATGGATCTCATCCCTCTCCCTGGCTAGAGCCATTGCCTGTGGCCATTCTCAGGTAGAGACCAGATTCGGGGGGCCTTTGAGCAGGGCCTTGGGCAGCTCCCACATTCCCAGGGATTCTCCCTGTCGTCCCATGCGTTTTGTCTTGGCTGGGAGGAGGAAGTGCAAGTTTCTCAGTCTAAGGCTCATGTGGTAGGCAGAGGAAGACCCTGGTCAGACCCTGGTACTGACCCTCCGCCACTGGCCACTCCACAGAATGTGGAGGTCAAAGGTTACAAACCCACTGAGTTGCCAACCTTTGCTTTATATTTTGTAGAATTATTTTATGGTTGGCGGTTTGGAGGAAGCTTTTCGCATCCCTGATTTGGATGGGCCCCACCCTCTTGCTTTAGTTGCAGTAGAGAGAGATTTGGGTGCTTCTACCCCAGGTACAAGGAGCTCTGGTGGCACAGTGCCTAAGGCATTTGACTGCTAACCAGAAGGCTGGTGGTTTAAACCCACCAGGCACTCTGCGGAAGGAAGACCAAGCACAATCATCTACTTCCGTAAAGATTTACCACCTCGGAAACCCAATAGGGGGTCATTATGAGTCAGAATCGACTCGACAGCAGTGGGTACCCCAGGCATAGGCCCAACCTTTCTCAGGATGAGCCTTTTTTTTTTTTTTTTAATACATTTTATTGAAGTATAATTTATGTACAGTGAAATACACAAACCCAAAATGACATGTCAATGCATTTTTTTTTTTTTTTTTGCACCTTTTTGAACCTTTTGGAGGTTCAAGTGCATCCCCTACTGTTGGCGACCTGTGGTCATAGCAGAAGGGGCAGGGCCTCCCCCGCTGCCCAAGGCCTACAATTGTGCTTCCAAATCTGGTTTTTGTTCTCCTGGGCCAGGTCTGTGTGGCCAGCCTGACTCCCTAGCAAGGGTTGGGTTGAGGAGGTTTTAAAGAAGATCCAATCCTAACCCTTGGAATGCAGAGTTATCCCGATACTGAATTCTTGATGCATCTTGTTTTATATAATAAATTGTGTTTCACAGATGTCCCTGTAGCTGTGAATGGGGAGAAGGGGAAGTGTCCTGGCATCAGGTGATTTATTCCTGAGCACAAGCTGGAGGCTAGTACACCTGGGGGCAGAGGGCTTGGGTTCCCAGTATGAGCCCATCTGGTGTGTGAGCCCAGGGTCTCTATCTGGCCTGCTGGGGACTTGGAGTAAGTTTCTTACTACATATTAGGAACTTTCCATAGTTATCTCATTTAACCCTCACAACCACCTCAAGACACAAGTCTTTATCAGTTACATTTCAGAGAGGAGGCAGCTGAGGCCCAAGAAGGCTGAGGACCTCGTCCAAGGCCACACAGCTAGTCAGTGAGATGGACTTGAACAAACTTACCATCACTTGTGAAAATCTCTGGCTTGAGAAAAGCAGCCTGGAAGGAAACGATCTGACCTCATCACCATGCCTCCGTGTAAATTTATTTCTCCAGCTTCATTTTCTCAAAATTTTAAAGGGTCCCAGCCCTCTGTCTTCAACTCTTGTGGTGCGACTCCTTGGACAAGTCCCAATCTCTTGTTCTCTTAATTAAAATGATGAGTTTGCATGAACCAGGCTCCAGGGGCCTTACCTGCACTATTCAGATACCTATTTTCCTTCTGTGTGATAGGAATTAACATCCGTATTGAAAGGACCAAATTTGACGAATGACTTGCCCAAGGTCATACAGCAAGACAGTGACGAAGAGCCATCTGGAACCCAGGGCATCATCGGTTCAGGCAGGGGGGCCTGGGTGGGAAGGTCGTTCCCCAGCTAGACTAGGGTGCTTACGTCCATGTCGCAGAAAAATGGTACCTAGCCCCAAGCTCCCAGGTGTAGGCTTGGGCTGAACGCAGGCAGGCCGAGCAGCTGAAAACAGCGGGCACTGGGACCATAATACTTGGAGACTTGACCAGCTCAACCCAGTTCCTGTAGAACCTACATTATCATTTCTTTACAAGACCCGTTTAAAGACCTTTAGGCTTTTCAGAGAATCCCGAGAGAGCCTCGGCGAGAGCGCCTCGGATCTGACAATAGTGGACTGAGCACGGGCAAAGCGTGACACCTCTGCAGGCCTCAGTCTCCCCTTCTGTCAAATGGGGATCTTAGACAGCTAGAGGTCCAAGGAGGGTAACAGTAGAAAAACGATCCCTGCATTCTTTGCGGCGCCGGGTAAACGGCCTGAGTCACCGCTGCTGGTTGTATTTTTCCACTTCCCGGGCGCCCCTCCCAGTCGCCCCGGTTTCGGTGGGTCCTACAGGAAGCGCCCCCGCTGTGCCCGGCTCCGTACGCTCTGGCCACGCCCCTCTGCGCGCAGCCCCTTGGCCACGCCCACAGTAGGAGCTGCAGATTCGCCAGGCCGGCTCTTCAGAACTACCTGGGCCCTTTTTCACTTGGCTGCAAATTCTCATCCGACACTGAAGAGGAGCTTTGCGTCGTAGCCATTTCCCCCTGCATCGGAATTGGGCTGGTCTCTCAGCTGTCCTAGTAAGAAAGATCCAGAGAAAGTGGCTGACTTTGCCAATAGGGCTTGGCTAACCGGGAGTTATTTTCCTGATTCCACCAAGGCGGGTGAAAGGAGGAGACGGCTAAGGCCAGGACCCGTGGCGAATCTGCGGGCTCTTGGACCTTCGGCCGCTTGAAGAAAGGGCAGGGAAGAGGAGCAAAGGAGCGCGCATGCTAGCCACCGATTCGCCCCGCCCGCCTGACGAATCTGCGACTGTTCAACGAGCCACTCAAATCTCCTCATCTCTGGCTGGCCTCCTCCTCTCAGTCCCGCCCCCTTTTTCTCAAGAACTAATCGCAGCTTTCGCCGCCGCCGATTCGCCAAGGCCTGCAGGCCAGAGCAGCTGGATAGCAGTAGTGAAGCCCACTCTCTGGGGGATGCGGCCAATCTCCAGGTTTCCTGGGCCGCAATTCCCGAACCTTATAGGTTGCTGGCCGAGGCGAGGCCGCTGTCCTCGGCTCCGTGGATCTCTCGACGGCGCCCGTGACGAAAGTGCGAATGCAGACGTTGTGCCCACTGGGCCTCGCGCAGGTGGCTGTGGTGTTTGGTGCGCGCGCCG